TGATCCTGAGGTGTTCCCTCAAGATCGATTCAACATCAGAATCGACGTGGAAGACCTGAGCAAAGTCTTCGAGACGGAGAATCTGAAGGTAGCAGATGAGACGGAAGAGAACACATACTAGGAAAAAGACCACCGTCCTATAGAACCATGAGCAGAGTTCAAGGAAGCATGCGACAGTATCACTCACAAGGGCATTTCCCAGAAATGGAATGCGTGTTCCACCAGAGGCATACCACCATATCTTATATGCAGCCTCAGCAGCAAAACACGGTAGGACGAAGATGAATAGGACCTTCAGTGATCTCTGCATTGAGGGAGCAAAATTGATGAGAAATATCTATCGAATAATGTATCTAAGCTAATTAAAGGAAAACACCACGTTTTATAAAGTTATCCATCCAATTGTGTTTGGTTATGTTTCTATAAGATCTATTCGCCACAAAAATATATCAAGGACTCTTTTCCTATTTAGAATTCTATAAGCTTGTCCTCAAAAATTGACAGTCTAACAACACAACCTGAGATTCTTATCATTTTACAATTACCCACTATAATCAACAAAAAGTGATAAAAGTGACGAACTCAATGCGGCAGGCTGCTATCTGAGGAGACATTGAGATCATCTTCTTGAAGGTCTAATCTTAAACAATTCAACTCGAACTCGACCAGGAGCTCAATTTTCAAAGCCACCCCCCCACAAAGAGGACGCACAAATACAAAGCTTACTAAGCTTACTAGCCCACTAATCAGAAATAATGAGAAAGAATTTAGACAGTGCCATTCAGAGAAAAGTCCTAAAAAGGTCTAACAGCTGTTCTTGAAATTAAAGCCTGACCACAAGGCACAGAATCAATGCACAACATTCATCTCCTTCAACTTATAGCAATGATTGATCAAATTATATGGGTGGCAAAGAACTCAATTAAGCAATGATTTAATTTCCGAATCTATTCCACTGCTTCATCCCTTTCTGCACCACGATCGTGAGATTGATCAAGCTATTGTAGATTTTTAGCTGAGATTATAATTCTTCTGCTAAATCATCATATCCACCAAATATCAAGGGTGATCTTAAAATCTGATCACTAATTAAGAAAGACAGTCAATTTTTTCTCAAATTGGTAAACAGAGAGAATAAACGTACATGAAGTTGTTCTGTGTATCCTTCCCTGACGGCCTCGCTCTCATCACAAAGCTTATCAAGGAACAAGAATCTTCGAATCCCAAATTTCCTAACGTAATACGAGAGGCATATGAATGACAGGGCAGCGACGCCGCTGAGGGATAGCTGCACCACCGTGTCATAAGGCCGACTGTGGCGGCTATCGCAGTCGCTGCAGGCCAACACGAAATGGGACAGTGCAGGAACTAAAATGGCCAAAACCAGAAAAACGAACCAGGAAAGACAGGTTGTCCAAGCATTTGATTGATCAACGCAAAGCCATTTCAACCATATCCGAAAACTATGCAACTCGTCGTGGGCGTGCGACGCAATCCTTGCAAACGCCCTTTTCTTTTTGGAATTCAAAAGGGATTCTTCCCTTTCATTCGCCATTAGAAAAAAAAAATCTTCAATTTCTTGATCGTCAAATAATGTACATAGGTTTTGTAGGTAAGGAAATCACGGAGGCAGTGAGTTGGCAAGGCCAAGATTTGTGGGTCTAATTGAAACCTGCGGTATCGTTTTGAGAAAGGCTTATATAAGAGATGATAAAGTGGTGGGAAAGGGTTCAAAGCGCTTAGATTTGATTCGTGTCCATGATTTCATTAGACAGTTTAATATTTCTGAAATAGTTGTGAAGTAAATTTCCCTGATGCGACTGGCGTTCTGGCTGATCCGATCAGTTTTTACCACCTGCAAAATGAGGTCGGGGCTTTCTCCTCCATTGTACATCTGGCATGAGAATTAGTGTTCAGAACTAAAGAATATGGAGACACTATATTGGAATTTAGATAGTTCGGTTTTTCAAGAAACTATACATTTTCTCATATTGGGTATTTATAGGCACTTGATGGCACGCCCATGTTCCATTATTTGTTGTGCCACGTGTCCCACGTGTATCTTTCCACTCCTCCACGTTCTATAGCATGAATCCCCACTCGTCATGCAGTTGGTTATGCCCCCACGTTCGCTGTTGGGTGGTGTCTGTCTTGCTCATTGCTATTTGTATGACTAGGTATAGCATTGGCCGCATGGTGATGGCTACTTTGTGAACGTAGAGCACCCCATGATGGTCGACGGTCGGTTTATCATTAGAATGTAGAGCAACCCATGGTGGTAGGCGGTCTATCATTAGAACGTAGAGCACTCCTAGTGGTAGGCGGTCGGTCTATCATTAGAACGTAGAGCACCCTATGGTGGTAGGCGGTCTATCATGAGTATGTAGAGCAACCCATGGTGGTAGGCTTTCTATCATTAGAATGTAGAGCAACCATGGTGGTATGCGGTCGGTCTATCATTAGAACGTAGAGTATCCTGTGGTGGTAGGCGGTCTATCATGAGAACGTAGAGCACCCCCATGGTGGTAAGCGGTCTATCATTAGAACGTATAGCACCCCGTGATAGTAGGCGGTCTATCATGAGAACGTAGAGCACCCCTTGGTGGTAGGCAGTCTATCATTAGAACGTAGAGCACCCAGTGGTGGTAGGCGGTCTATCATGAGAACGTAGAGCACCCCCATGGCGGTGGCGATCTATCATGAGAACGTAGAGCACCCCATTGCGGTATGCGGTCTATCATGAGAACGTAGAGCACCCCCATGGTGGTAGGCGGTCTATCATTAGA